CCTTTCAGTTTCAGTGCTATTGTTGCCCAAAGATCTCCACTTCCTTGAGCTCAATGTCATCATCTAACATACCAAACTAATCATTTAACTCTAATTCTAAACTGACTTCTTTCTCTTAATCTACTTGTTATCTAGGAAGTGGGTTGATTCTCAAATCACTTGCCATTTTTAATAAAGTAGGTAATTATAACAAACATGATCCAAATCCCATTTCAGAGGAAGAAAATTTTTTCTTCACTGTGGTTAAAAACTAAGGCAACATTTCTGGTACAAGTAACTTAGATGTAAGGCATTGTATTTTATCTGAGTTTGTTCCACATAGGTCTGCATAATGCTGAAGTGCAAAACTACTAATTTGGCAACTTGTGGAAGGCCAGTAGAAACTGCTTCTACAAGATTTGAAATGTTCTCCCTCAGTGGCACATCTGGAACAGAGTATGTTTTTCCTGAAGTGCTACTTACCAAAATTCATTTGTAACCTATAAAATTTGAGATAAGAGGACTTTTATAAAACTATTTTCATTTTATATGTTCTCCAAAGCCAAGTAAAACAAGCTACAGCCACTCTGCCGGTTAACTTTAGCTGTGTAACAAATTTCCTCAAAACCATTTCTTTGGCTCTGATTCTGTGGGTTGCCAATTTGAACTTGCTGCAGGTAGGCTGTTTTTCTGCTCTGAGATAAGCTCGGTTGATATTGGCTGCGTTCATTATGTCTGCCCTTAGCTAGTGGGTTGACTGGGACTGACCAGTTTGTGGTTGCCTTGTCCTAGACAGCTGGGATTATTAAGGCCATCTCTCCCTGTGGCCTCTCATCTTTCAGCAAGCCTGAACTTGTTCACATGTTAGCTGAATGAGTCCAGAGGCATCAAGAGAAAAAATATCACAATGGGCAAGTTCTTTGCAAGTCTCTGCTTGCACCATGTTTGCAAATGTTTCTTCAACACAGTAAGTTACATGAGCAACGTTGATTCAGCAGTAGAGAAATAAAGAACTCAGACCTCTCAAGGGGAAGAGCTATAAAATCACACGGCAAAAGGACATGCATCAAGGAGGGGAAAATTTTGTGATCATTTTTTCAATTTATAACAACTAATTCTAAAATGATGACACTTCACTGGATGAACATAATAATGAACACACCTAGAACTATGAGTTTCAGATACCACCATTCATTGAAGAATGTTTGTTTATAGATTTTTTATTTAGTTTTGTCACATGAGAAGACAAACAGAAAATCAGATATTTATTTTACATTTTTTTTTTGAAACAAGGTCTTGCTCTGTCACCAGGTTGGGGTACAGTGGCATGATCATAGCTCACTGAAGCCTCAAACTCCTGGGCTCAAGCAATCCTCCTGCCTCAGGCTCCTGCGTAGCTGAGGCTTACTGCGCAGGAGGCTTTAAGTCATGTACCACTGCACCCAGCCTTTGTTCACAAATTATAGTGGCTGTAACTAATTAATTCACAAATTAAGCTGTCTTCAAATTAGAATGATGACTCTGCAGGCTTATATCTGCTAATATACAACACTTGCACACATGCATGTATACGCATACATACACATATTCCAGTGGTTTGGATAACAATGTTTTCTCTGAATTTTGGCAAACAGTGGCAGGGTTTCAATAACTAGGGTGAAATCACTGCATGTCCTATAAAATGGGGTCCAAGTTTATTCAATCAGGGCATCAAGTAAGGAGGTCTTTAAAATTGCAGATTGCTGATGGTCATGTATCTATATCTGCTGTGTTATCAGAGTGGAATATATCATACTTATAAAAATACCTAAATTTGTGAAGCCAACAATTTAACATACAGTGTAGCCTTAAAGCTATAAAATCCAAAGATCAGGAATCCTTGACTGCCATAGAACCTGGCTAGGTAGAATCTCATGGGCAAATTGAGGCTGGAATAAAGGCTGAAGTGTCAGCTACAGAAAATCATGATTAGATCTACAGTGAGGAGTCTGGGGCTAAAATCCAATAGCTAGAAGGTGGCTGGACTGACGTAAATATCTGAGGTCACTTCAAGGAAGTGAGAGAGGAGAAATCAGGGTCACCGAGGTAAACTCCGGAGGGCATAGGGTCTCGCCATTTTGATACATTATCAATAATGTAAGCCCAGACATTTAAACTGAGCACGTAATCTAATTTTCTGGTACTACATTGACACTTTTTCCATGCCTTGTACTCATAGAAATCTATCTCTTTGAGGAATTATCCCAAAGTCGGACTGAGCATTTACCTGATGAAACGGCTTCATCCATGGGAGAAGGACAAAAATGCTAGAGTTTTCCAGACCAGGTTAAAGATCCAAAGCCAGGCCGGGCGCGGTGGCTCACGCCTGTAATCCCAGCACTTTGGGAGGCCGAGGCGGGTGGATCACGAGGTCAAGAGATCGAGACCATCCTGGTCAACATGGTGGAACCCCGTCTCTACTAAAAATACAAAAATTAGCTGGGCATGGTGGCGCATGCCTGTAATCCCAGCTACTCAAGAGGCTGAGGCAGGAGAATTGCCTGGACCCAGGAGGCGGAGGTTGCGATGAGCCGAGATCACGCCATTGCACTCCAGCCTGCGGAACAAGAGCGAAACTCCGTCTCAAAAAAAAAAAAAAAAAAAAAAGATCCAAAGCCAGAAATACCATTTCACTCTTACTCTGAACTACATAAGTGTTTGAGGGTGGATGGTGATAGTGCATGAGGAGTTGGAGAACGTAAATAAATTATTCCATAGCTACTTCCTTTCTTTGTTTTAGAAATTTCATCCCAAATGGCTTCAGGCAGTTAAGAAGAGTTAGAGAATGATACAAGAGAATATATTTAAGTGCTTAGCTCCGTAGTATTTGTACATCTCAACTCCTACAAAATGTTTTTTTATTTTTAATTATTATTATTATTTGAGATGGAGTCTTGCTGCATCGCCCAGGCTGGAGTGCAGTGGCATGGTCTTGGCTCACTGCAACCTCCGCCTCCTGGATTCAAGTGATTCTCCTGCCTCAGTCTCCTGAGTAGCTGGGAATATAGGGGCGTGCCACCAGGCCCAGCTAATTTTTGTATTTTTAGTAGAGACGGGGTTTCACCACATTGGCCAGGTTGGTTTCGAACTCCTGACCTCTAGTGATCTGCTGCCTCGGTCTCCAAAAATTCTTGGATTACAGGCATGAGCCACCATGCTCGGCCTTGTTTTTAATTTTTGTGGGTACATAGTAGGTATACAGTAGATATTTTGATACAGACATGCAATGTGTAATAATTACATCAGGGTAAATGGGGTATCAGTAGGTCTCAACTTTTAATAATTCTGTGAACTTGTCATGCTCTCTCCCATCTCTGGCTCCTTCTTCTTGGATGGAAAGAAGGAGGGAAGGGGGCATAGCACCTATCTTTTAAGTTAGGCACCTAAAATCACCATGTGGATCCTGTCTCACTTGCTACAGTTCATTTGCAGAAGAAGGAAATGAGATATAGATTGTATTACACCAAAAAAAAAATGAAAGAGGCATGTGACAGCTGGCAGGGAGGATCTATGGAATTGCAGTCCCTTGGAGGGAGCAACATGGTGAGGATGCTGCAGGTCTTTATTTTACAAGTGTAGATTCTCTGTGGCATGACTTTCACTGAAGTTCATCGGGTTCTAAGGAACAGATCAAACTTGTAAGATAATCAAACTTGTAAAACAGATAATCAAACTAATCAAAGATAGATAATCAAACTAATCAAACTCATAAGATAGAGAATGCCAACTTGTTATTTTAAAAAATAGGTTCCAAGCCAGACATGGTAGCTCATGCCTGTAATCCTTGCACTTTGGGAGGCCAAGGCAGGCGGATCACGAGGTCAAGAGAGCGAGAGCAGCCTGACCAACATGGTGAAATGCTGTCTCTACTAAAAATACAAAAATTAGCTGGGGGTAGTGGTGCACGCCTGTAGTCCCAGCTACTCAGGAGGCTGAGGAAGGAGAATCACTTGAACCTGGGAGGCGGAGGTTGCAGTGAGCCGAGATTGCACTATTGCACTCCACCCTGGGCAACAGGGCAAGATCCCATCTCAAAAAAAAAAAAAAAATTATCTTAGCTAGGAACAATGAATTTTATGTCAAGGAGACTCTTTATTGGCAAATCCTCTCAAAAGTACAAATGATAGATCAGTCTGTTCTGTGAGCACAGAATTCAAACAAAAGGAGTTGGGCATTCTTGGAAAAGATTTCCAAGAAGTGATGGAAGCCTGAGGTAGTGTGTCTCTCTTCTTTAGGACTGGTGATCTAAAGACCATGTAGGATCTAGGGGCCTACTTTCCTCAAAAAGAGCCAAAAAAGTCCAATAACCTGTTTCTGGTTTTTTTTTTTTTTTGGTGCTTCTTTTCTCTAGACACCTTGCAGGCATGACCCTTCTGTTAATATGTTATTTCTAGAGAGAGCAGTCATAATATTGAAGATGGCAAGTGTTTCACATCAGTCATACTCTCTATGCCTTCTTAAGTAGTTTTTCAGTTCTGTGGAGGGATGCACACTCTTTCTGTAAACACTTACAAGTTATCTTAGAGGATCATTATTGCAGAGATTTTAACACACTTACTGTGTATCCTCAACCCCCACCCCCCATTTAGTTTTATGCTACAAGGGTGGTGTTATTGACCATTCCCACAAATGCGGAAACATCCTACTTCAGCACCTTAGACAACTCTGGTGTATTGTCAGAAGCGCTGCCAGAGTCTGTTTTCAGTAACTAACTAGTTAGATAACCTTGGGAAAGTCACTTAACCTCTGAATTTCCTACTCATAGAAGATAATATCTTCCTTACTGATTTGGTGAGGATCAAATATGATAATGCATATGAAGGCACTTTGTGAACAGTGAAGCACAATCAGTGTCTTCTAGGATATTTAGTCATTTTCTTCTTTCAGTTATAAAGCATCTATTTTCCCAATTTTCAGTTTCTTCTCCATTCCAACTATACTTTCCACAGCTAATGAGTTCATTTTCTTTTATTCTTGTTCTATTTCTTGACTGTCTATTCATGTTTCCTTCTATTCTTGTTCAATTACTTTGTACACATTCCCCTTTTACGAAGATTCCACTGTGGCTTCAGGATAAATCTAGTCATTCATGCCTTTCACAATCTGATCTCCACCTTCCTCTGAGCATATTCATTCTTCTCTTCTTCACTAATCTGCAGCTTTAGCCAGTGGTGTGATATAACTTTTAACAATTCCTTCTCTGAGGTAGAAAACAAAAAGCCCTGATTTCTGGCATTTGCCAATTTTCATGGTGTCAATATTCCCACCATGATCAGCTTCAAGACTAGACCTGTTGGCAGAGCTTGACATCTCATGCCTGTAATCCCAGCACTTTGGGAGGCTGAGGTGGGCAGACCACTTGAGGCCAAGAGTTTGAGACCAGCCTGGGCAACGTGGTGAAGCTCTGTCTCCACTAACAATACAAAAATTAGCTGGGCGTGGTGGTATGTCCCTGTAATCCCAGCTACCAGGGAGGCTGAGGCAGGAAAATCACTTGAACCTGGCAAGTGGAGGTTATAGTGAGCTGAGATAGTGCCACTGCACTCCAGCCTGGGTGACAGAGTGAGACTGTCTTAATAAAGGGAAAGAAAAGAAAAGAAAAGAAAAGAAAAGAAAAGAAAAGAAAAGAAAAGAAAGAAAG